CGACAAGTCGTCTAAGGGCCAGGATACGAACGGCCGTTACCCTTTGCAAATATCACCAGGAGCAGGCCCCCTTATCCGGACTGGACGAACGTCTCCCCAATCAGGCGGGAAACCCAGATTCTGGTGGGAAGCGCATTTAATGTCGGAGATTTGGTGGTTGGGACATCAGCCACACATAAGCCTCCACGTCAGCATAGCCAGCTACCCATTGGTAGTATAAATAGCAGCATTTATTTCATTGTAAAGGGTTGACAACTTACTATTCTTAGCACTCTAGCTTATAGCGTCCTTACTCGCAGCTCTTCTACTGCCTTGTAAGATGAACGGCCGACGAGCCTTAGCAAAAGTATTGTATTGGGAAGTTATTAACTGATTAATAATACCTAATCTCTTACTCGCTATCTTTTGTTCCCTGTAATCCATCTTGCTTGTTAGTTGGGCTAGTTATTCATTCACCACTCCACTCGAAATTCTTGGGCTTAGTATAGAATCACACAAATTTTTATCAAATTTAGCATTTAGACGGTCTTATTGAAATAATAACGAAAAAGAAAGATGAGACAATTTTAGCGGGACGGAAGGACTATATGATTATATGATTATTATTATATATTCGTAATTGCTATTATTATTAATATTGTTATGAGATCATTATTTTATAATCATTATCATAGTAAATACAAGATCCTTATTAATTATATGGTTATTTATATACTACGTATATAGTAGTAATGATTGTTACAAACAATTTTCGTATTGTTTGCAATATCATTAAACTTTTTGTATACCAGATTCATAAAATAGGTGTCACTTTTAGCAATTTAGAAGTTTTTTTTGTTCGAAAATGTGATACTATTATGTTTTGCATGATATTTTATAATATTACATTTATATATTTATAAACATTTCTATAAAATCTAGAAAAAGTACTAAAAATTAAAATTAAAACGCCTTTTCACGCTTAATCCCCGCATAAGCTCGCCTAGGCTTTAAAGGCTTAAGGCTCCGGTGTGCCGCCTCGTCACGCCTCACACCTTTTAGAACACTGAACCTTACTTATTTTCATTATTACACAATTCAGTACATGAAATCAATACATGAAATGAAAAGTTACGTATTTTGTGGGAAAAAATCCTAATAAGCTGATAAGCCGAAAACAAGGGTCACCAAACGCGCACTAAGCCTACGCAATTTAAGAAGTGGATCGTAATTTTTAAGATTGTTAGCTTATTATATCTCAAACTATCATCAAATTCACAAATATTCTATTCTTTAATTTCTATTAAAAAAAGGACTCAAACTTTATTTTTTTCAAAAATTATGTTTTTCTGTTTGTTTTTTCAAAATTACACATTTTCATTACTATCAATACTTTTATAAATTAGTACTAAACTTTTGTTTTTGTTAATTGTTTAATTCTTTTTTATTCTTCACGAATTAGCAAGAACTTAAAAATATCTTACCAAATCTCAATACTAATATAAAATGATACTCCAATTATCTGTGAATTTAGTAGCTAATACATTAATGTTTTATAGAAGTTGCTAAAGTAGATTAAACACTAATAAATAACTCATATTTATTTAATACTACGTATAATTTATTTATTTTCCTAGAAAATTATGAACTCCTACATAGTTATATATGAGAATTTCATTTTTGTAGTTATCTTTCACATGTTATGCATTAAAAGTTGATTAATTATAAGTAATACGAAAGTACTAGTTTGTACAAAAAAAAATTATTCTCTATAGATAAAATATTTTATATAATAAGGTATAAGCAATAGAAGTTTGTAATCTTACAACTGAAAATAAATGAAAAGATATGAAATATAAATATGATTTTTTTCTTAAGTACTACTAGTATTACTTATTCATCCAACAAAAGTGTAATTGTGAGAAAAGTTGAAGTATGAGATTTTTTATTAAAAGTGAAAAATATGATAGATTTGTGAATTTGATGATAGTCAGGGATATATTTAGCTAATAATCCTACTTTTTATATACTATAATTAACCAGGGCACAATACATTAAAACAAAAAAGTTAATGAGTTAGAAAAATCTCCCGTTTAATTATTAGTTCGCTTGTCTTCTTATATTACCTAAAAGTACTACATATGAGAGAGAGAAATCTTCCGCTCAATTATTAGTCCGCTTATCTTATACCTAAAAACACTACAATGAATTAGAAAATTCCTCCGCTTATCTTATGAATGCTTTTATAAAAGCATTCATAAGAGAGACTAAATTATTTCGCTCAATTATTAGCCCATTTATCTTCTTATACCTAATCGCACTACATATATGAGGGAGCAAAATTCTCCGTCTCAATTATTAGTCTGCTTATTTTGTACCGTAAACGGCTAGAAGCACTGCTTTTGAGTAGGGTTGTAAACGAATCAAATAATTTGTGCTCGATTAGCGATTCGAATTTGTATAAGACGATTCGAATTCGGAAAATTCAAATACAAATAAGAATATTAAATTTGATTCGAGTTGTTATCAAATACAAATAAGAATATCAATGTATTTGGTTCGTATATTAATTAAAATATTTAATTAATAATAGTGGTAATATTAATAATAGTATTAATAGTAATAGTAATAACACTATAATAACTTTTAAAAGATAGCGATACTCTCAAAATATAGCCCATATATACATTTACGCATACACATTTCAAGCCCATTTGTAATAAATCAAAATATAAATACGAATACGAATCAATTTTTTGGTTCAAATAAATGTTTTTCAAATACAATACAAATAATTATGTATTTGATTCTAAGAATAAAATAAGAGTCGTTTGACTTTAATATATACAATTATCAACTTATTTCAAACATTATAAGTATAATTTCTAATATGTGTGTTAGTGTTTATTTCAAAAAGTTTGAAATATATTTATATTTATTAATCATAAAATTGATTCAATTTAGTATATTATGCACACTCTAAAAATGCATTGGTGCATTAAATTTAAATTCTAAAAATACATATTAAGTCATAGCGTGCATGTACAACATAAAAGATATAAGAAAAGTTATTTTAAAGTGATATTTGACCAATACTTAGCCTATGCTCAAATCGATTCGATATTCGTATATTATTCGTTAACTATTCGTATTGTTAAACAAATACAAATACAAATCAAAATTAATATTTGTTTCATATTTGAATTCATATTCGTATTCGAAAAAAATAAAAAAAATACAAATGCAAATCCAACTATTCGACTCAATTCGGTTTGTTTACAACCCTACTTGTGAGAGAGAAAATTCCCCCACTTGTTGATTAATGTGCTTCTCTTTACCTAAAAACACTATATATGAGTTAATAGTTAATTTTATCCCTTAATTATTAGTCCGCTTACCTTATACCCAAAAACACTACATATGAAAGAAAAAAATCTTCAACTCAATTATTAATTCGCTTACCTTATTATATCTAAAAACATTACATATGAGAGAGAAAATTCCCACGCTCAATTATTAGTTTGTTTACCTTATAACTAAAAGTACTATATATGTGAGAGAAAATTCTCACGCTCAATTATTAGTCTGCGCGCTTATCTTATACCTAAAAACAATACATATGAGTTAAAAATTAATTCTCCCAATTAATTATCAGTCCGCTTACCTTATACCTAAAAGCACTACATATGACAGAGAAAATTCTTCCTCTCAAGGATTAGTCTGCTTACATTATAACTAAAAGTACTATATATGTGAGAAAATTTCTCGCTCAATTATTAGTCCGATTACCTTATAACTAAAAGCATTGCATACATGCGAGAGAGAAAATTTCTCCGCTCATTTATTAGTAGTCGGCTTATCCTATACCAAAATGCACTACATACGTCTATGTAGAAATATTTCATCTTTGTGCAGTTATAGAGTTTGATGTTTATTGATTGTCATAACATAGGTGATAATTATACAAAAAATGTCTTCTCACACGGTTAAAAGGTCGCAGAGAGAGAAAATATCAAAGAAGAAATTCTTTCAATCAATTATTAGTCTGCTTATTTTATACCTAAAAGTAGTACGTCCGAGAGAGAAAAAATTTCCACTCATTTATTAGTCTGCTTATTTGTTGTAACGGTCAGAGTACAAATTAAAAAGATATAGCATTTTAAAAAATTAGGGGACATTATTTGATTGAGATAAATTAATATAAAATCTTAAAATTAAGCGAAAATTAAATTGTAGTTGCAGAAATGTTTTACAATTACAATATACAAATTGCAAACTTGTGAAATCCTGGTACGAATTACGTAGTATGATACGAATTACGTAGTATGATAGGTTTCATCTTTTAGAATTATCATGATCATTATTAGAAGAAGAAACACGAAGTTAGTATAGTAGTAGGGAATGCAGAGAAGGAGTCAATTGATGTTTTGCTTCCATTACAAAAAAAACTGAATTCCTTTGCAGAGAAAGAAGCAGCCACGTGGCAGTGTGGCACTAAGAAATGAGAGGAGAAAATTATGGAGAGAGTGACACGTAAGATTAATGAAGGGTGTAATTGTCTTTTGAGGAGCTATTTGTTTTCTTATATATAAAAATAGATTTGGGGGTGTATAACAAGATTGTTCGGCGCATAAACAAGACTTTTGATTATCTATCATAAGGAAATCTAACTCGACTTTTGGTAGTGGACGAAGTAAAAAACTCCGGTGGTTCATTTGCCGATTGTCCCCAAGCAAGAACCATTAGCGTTTTTTACATTACGGATAGATAAAAAGGAATGAGCAACTAAAAGCATGTCTGGTGTCAAATATTTAGTCTGATATTTTTAAAGTCGAGCTAGCCAATATTATTGTTTGACAAAAACTATAAATAGATTAAAGAGTTCACAAAAAAAAAACTGTTTGATAGAGCTAAAAATAGATTTAAAATTTAGACAGAAATTTCCTCTTAACGCATTTATAAACTGTTTAAAATTTAAACAGAAAAGTATTATAAACTGCTATTTTTAGTACTTACCCGTGTAAAATCAAAATACCAGTGTTGGCCAAAAAATCTACCAGAAAAGCAACAAAAAAAGACAACGCTACAACAGGGCATTAAATCGCACTGGAAAAGAAATGCCGCATTTCAGGATCACTGATACAAGTAAGAACTTTTCAAGAAAAGATTTTACAAATTATGAAAATGATGAGAGACGATTTAAGTGAGAACTTTTAGCTTAGAAAAGTTTTTGCAGGGATAGAATGGTTAAGAAAGTATAAAAATGAGGATAAATACCATATACAACTTTTGTTCTCGCCCTGAAAGACACTTGCCGCTAAGAAGATGCACATAACTGCTGGAAGCAGCGAGTACTCAATGATTATTACACACCAATTTGCAAATATCTTCGTAGTCAATAGCCTTGAGAACCTTCCCATCATATATCCCCTTTTCTATTTTCAGCTTGGCAGAGAAATGATCGGTATCGATGTCTAACAACCTTGCATTTGACCCCCGGTAAGCCCCGTTAACTATCCTCACAAGACCACCTACTTGGGGGATCACAGTTTCAAGCTCTTCCTGATCAACTCTCAGAATGTGCTTATTATCAAGGATTTCAATTTCCCCAACATACTTATCAATAACCTTTTTAACAACACCCTTTTTCTTATAGTATCCCTCATTAGCTAATAATCCCTTGCTCATAATCTTCACCACAATTCCCTCACATAACCAATAATCCTTCCTGTTTTGTCGTTCTTTTGCTTGTTCTTCCTCTCTCATCAGCTCATGCAACACCCCACCCCCACCCTTTCCTCCAACCAACTTTGCTTCCCTACCTTTTTCAGTCTTGTCCTGATGATAATCCATCACATCAAAAACAGATCTTGAGCAGCTTTCAGGTATACCTTTATCATTGGGGGGTTTCAATGATGAGCCCAAAGACAGCTTGACTTTCTGGTCGCAACCCTCCATCTTTTTGTCAAGTAACTTACGCTCAGAAGAAACATTATTCTCATCTGTTATGATGACACCCCCCATCAGCTCTTCTGCCCGCTCTCTCTGTCTTTTAATTGCTCTCTCTTGCTTCTCTTCATCTGCTATATCAGCTTTCATTCGTTTGTTTTTTAATTTCTCCTTTAAAAGGGTCTCAGAATCTCTATCTATATAAGTAATAAACCACCCCTTTGGAGTCTCCTCAACTTTACATTTCCCAGTCCTGCCTAAGTACTTAACAAACTCAGTCAAAGTTGCCCACTCAGTGGAATTCATGTGAATATGATGTCGGTCAGCAATGTACTCATTGTACACAACTGTGGCAGCTACACGGCTAAACCGGTGGCTCCTCTTCATGTGTTCAAGGAACGAGCTCTCAAACTCTTCTGAGTAGCCACTGACGATCCGGTTAGGGTTCTGCCCAAACACCTCCATCTGGCGCTGATGAGACTCACTCATACAGTGGCACTTGAAGCCATTCTCGTCTCGGCATTGCTTCTCACACATCTGGCAATACCATCGCAGCTTCTGCAGACCTTTTGCTTTAATTCTGTTAGCAATAGCTTTCGGGGTCAAGAAATCATTTTTTCCCATAGAGACTGGCTTGTGATTGCAATCAGAAATGTGTCAAGAAGTGAATGTAGCTGGGTCACCAGACAGAGCGATGTTCATCAACAACTAGCTTTGCCACCTGTTCAGTATAAATATTAAGCGAAACAATTTTACTCAGAATTACTGAAACTGTATGCATAAACTTGAAATATATCAATGTTTATTCCTAAACAAAAGAATGTTCACATGCATCTTCCAAAAGTACATTATAAGGGTTTGAAGTAGCCTGCATACAGCGCTTTATAATATTTCAAATTTGGTTATATCCAGTGTTGAATGTCATCACTAGTTGGGATTCCGACTGAAGATGGTTGTCCATTAAGCCATACGTATAAGCACTGAAGTCATCATTACTTTGAGTTTCAACTGAAATGTTTCTCTAAGTCACTAATCTCTATTCGGTTCAACCTACTTTCAAATTGTATTATACGTAGTATATGATCTTCACTCATCTTGAGAAATCATAATAAATTCATTACTCTGAAACTTTTTACACCACATCCTTACATTTTTCATTGAATCAATCACTAAATGAACTCTTCAATTTCATGCTAGGAGCCATCTTGAATACTTGTATACTCGAATACTTAGTATTTAAGAGTAGTTCTAACTCAGCTATGGTTTTACCTTGTTTGCAAGTTGTTCTTAGCATTCCAATATATACTTGTACAACACAACCTATAAGTGCAGCAGCTACGCCATATGTACTTATGTAGCATGCATATTTCAGATTCTATTAGGCTTTCATTCTCACACAGCTTGCATGCTAAAGTTTGATAACAATCAAAATTGGAAGTATATCATAGTATCATACATTGGAGTAGAGTATATAAGAAGAAAAGAGGACTACAAAGTAGACATGGATGAAGAGAACTACAAAGTATACATGGTCACATGGATGACTGGAAATATAGAGTATATACTGGAATAAGAAAATGAACTTCAATGAACTGATACATGTAAAGAAAGATGACAAAAGAAATGAAAATAACTAGAAGCTGAAACAAAAAACTATTGCAAGTCACGATGCAGGTTTAGAGGGATTCAACGCGGGTTTATGTTGTTTAGCGTTTAGCCCTACTATTTGAATGGGCTGTATATTATCATAGATATGGGCTTATTTAAACAACGCTCGGATTTTTTTTGCAAACACTAAAATAGGCTCAAATGTTATTTGCAAACACAAAATAGACTGACAAGCCTTTATTGGGTCAGGCATCTAACGCGTGCGCTTCGGTTCTTCTGCACTCCTAGCGCATAACTTGCGCCTCAGACAGGCTGCGTCGCATGGAAGACTTATAGGCGCTGGACCTCTTATGCGCTTAAGAACCCAGGCACTCGCTTTTTGGTTGCACTGTGTTACACAGATTCAGAATAAGGGTGTTGATTACCTATACACCAGGTCAATATACTTCAGGTCTTAGTTATAATATCGTTCTAAGACCATCCAAAATGCCTTTTCTTGCAAAGTTCAAATGGGGATGAAAATATAACCGCCTACGGATGCCGATAAAAGCTGCAACCTATTTAAAGGAAAATAAAGGCACATTTGCAAGTAATAACAATGATTCTAACATTTTGATAAATCTGCTCATGCATGCACTAATGTTCATATTTTACCACGACTAAATTAAGGTGTGTTGATGCCTATTGAAGTATTGAGTACCACCTGTTTCATACAGAACACATACAATGGTGTAAGTATTCAATCTATAATAAACATGTAGTAAAATAATGCTTAGCCCATGCTGCAAATAAAAAAAAACTCTGAGAAAAAGCTACTCATACAAACATTGCTTCAATCTCCATATGAGAAAACCTTGACAAAAAAACAGTCTGGTGGATGTGAAAACGTGGATAGTCTCAAATTTTAAGTACGAATATCCATTACCTTAAGTACCATAAATATCAAATACGTGTTACACCTCCATTAGCATTTCCAGTACAAGCAAGAGGATTCATAAGAATCTAGTATGTTTCCATTTTAGTAAATTAAACTACTAAAAATTATCCCTTGCTAAAAAAACTATCCTCGAATCCTCAACTCAATTATTAGAAAATTATGCATTACTGAAGCCTGAAGGTATAAATTTTCAAACAAAGGTCAAGGAACGGGAAAAAGTACTATCATATATGCCAAAAAAAATGAAACTTTGCATCCAATAAGGTTTCTATGTTGAGTCTCTCAGAAGCACATGCAATTTGCGTTTTCAGTTAGGATATTAGAGGTGGGATGCATCACATGTAAGCTTGAAATATATCAATGTTTATTCCTAAACAAAAGAATGTTCACATGCATCTTCCAAAAGTACATCATAAGGGTTTGAAGTAGCCTGCATACAGCGCTTTATAATATTTCAAATTTGGTTATATCCAGTGTTGAATGTCATCACTAGTTCGGATTCCAACTGAAAATGGTTGTCCATTAAGCCATAAATACGCGCTGAAGTCATCATTAGTTCGAGTTTCAACTGAAATGTTTCTCTAAGTCTCTAATCTCTATTTGGTTCGACCTACTTTCAAATTGTATTATACATAGTATATGCTCTTCACTCGTCTTGAGAAATCAAAATAAATTCATTACTCTGAAACTAATCAATCACTGAACTAACTCTTCAATTTCTTGCAGGAGCATCTGGATGAGAATTAATGAAAGCTTTATTGCAAAAGCACGAACATGAATTTAATATGACACGAAAGTTTTTTAGTAAGCTAAGATTAAGGTAAATAACAGTACTTAGTATTCAAGAGTGATTCTAACTCAGCTATGGTTTTACCTTGTTTGTTTTTTAGCATTCCAATATATATGTGTACAACACAGCCTATAAGTGCAGCAGCTACGCCATATATACTGATGTAGCATGCATATTTCAGATTCTATTAGGCTTTCATTCTCACACAGCTTGCATGCGAAAGTTTGATAACAATCAAACTTGGAAGTATATCATACATTGGAAGTATATGGAGTATATAAGAAGAAAAGAGGACTACAAAGTAGACATGGATGAAGAGAACTACAAAGTATACATGGTCACATGGATGACAGTAAATATAGACTGGAATAAGAAAATGAACTTCAATGAACTGATGCATGTAAAGAATGATGATTGACTGAAAGAAGAAAATGAAAAGAACAAGAAGATGACAAAAGAAATGAAAATAACTAGAAGCTGAAAAAAAACTATTGTAGTTTCAGTTCAGCAGAATACGTGAGTATGAGTACAAAGCACAAGAGAGCAGAGATGAAGTCACAATGAAGGTTTAGAGGGGTTTAACGTGGGTTTATGTTGTTTAGCGTTTAGTCCTACTATTTGAATGGACTGTATCTTATCATAAACATGGGCTTATTTAAAATACGCTCAGATGTTTTTGCAAACACTAAAATAGGCTCAAAAGTTATTTGCAAACACAAAATAGACTGACACGCCTTTATTGGGCCAGGCATCTAACGTGTGCGCTTCGGTGCTTCTGCGCTCCTAGCGCATAACTTGCGCCTCAGACAGGCTGCCTCGCCTGGAAGACTTATAGGCGCTGGACCTCTTATGTGCTTAAGCACCCACGCACTCGCTTGTTGGTTACACTGTGTTACACATATTCATAATAAGGGTGTTCATTACCTATACACCAGGTCAATATACTCGAAGTCTTAGTTTTAATATAGTTCTAAGAGAGTAAGAGCATCCAAAATGAATCCGCTTGCAAAGTTCAAATGGGGATAAAAATATAATCGCCTAAAGATGTCAATTGCCAATAAAAGCAGCAACCTGTTTAAAGAAGATTAAAGGCACATTTGCAAGTAACAGCAATGATTCTAACATTTTGATAAATCTGCTCATGCATGCACTAATGTTCATATTTTACCACGACTAAATTAAGGTGTGTTGATGCCTATTGAAGTTGGGTGTATTGATGCCTATTGAAGTATTGAGTACCACTTGTTTCATACATATCACATACAACGATGTAAGTATTCAATCTATAAACATGCAGTCAAATAATGTCAAATAATGCTTAGTCCATACTGCAAATAAAAAACTCTGAGAAAATGCTACTCATACAAACATGGCTTCAATCTCCACGTGAGAAAACCTTGACAAAAAACACTCAGTAAATACATTGGGTGACGTGATGTCATACTCTGGTGGATGTGAAAACGTGGATAGCCTTAAAATTCAAGTATGAATAACCATTACCTTAAGTACCATAAATTTCAAATACTTGTAACACCTCCATTAGCAATTACAGTACAAGCAAGAGGATTCATAAGAATCTAATATGTTTCATTTTTAGTACATTAAAATACTAAAAATGATCCCTTGCTAAAAAAAATTATCCTCAAGACCTCAACTACTCAATTATTATACATTCCTGAAGCCTGAAGGTATACAGTTTCAAACAAAGGTCAAGGAATGGGAAAAAAAGTACTGCCAAATGTGCCAAAAAATGAAACTTTGCATCCAATAAGGTTTCTATGTTGAGTCTCTCGGAAGCACATGCAAGTTGCGTTTTCAATTAGGATATTAGAGGTGGGATTCATCACATCTAAACATGAATGTGTGGTATAGTTGTGATATGAGAGTTATATAGGTCGAATACCTATAAAGCACGGGCATGCCAGCCCTGTGAGAAATCGCAAGGCGTGGATATGGGCACCCGACACGCATATGGCATTCCACGTAGCGTATAATTGACCTGAAATGGTAACAAAGGCCTCGGGAAGGGAACGGCTGTTAATCTGATATAGGCTTGAAAACGACAGGAATCTCAGGTCTTCGCTTGAGTTGAGCTTTTTGGCAAGGAAGTGACACAGAGTATCCGGTTGCAGCGACCTGATGAGCTTTTGGGGACTTTGACGGGGAGGGACGACCTGAATTTTCTGGCCTGGTCCTATAATCTGGTCCGGTTTGGTCCGGTTTGGTCCGTTAAATGTCTGGTTTTTGTGTATTTTATAATTATCCAAATATGGTTTTGTGTGTTTTAGTTTGATTTGGTCTGGGCAAATCTGATCTGTTCTGGTTTGGGAATGAAAACAATTCAAGTAAAAACATCCTGAGAGGCAAAAAGGGTACTTGGTCGTTGGAGAAATCCATCGGCATACAACTGGTTGTAAGGCATAACCGGTTGTAAGGCTTGCACTATACAGCGGGTGGCCATTTTGATAGTTTAAGTTAAATTCGTGACTTTCGTTAAATGAGCATTAATGCACGTTTAATGAGCATCAGATCTATTTTACTGAGCATTGAGAGTTTTTTAATCATAAAAACGGCTTTCCATTAAATAGAGCAAACACGCAAGATCAAATATATACAGATATTACAGATCTGATCGTAAGCACTGAGAATAAACATAGAGCCAATCACTCATACAAAGCAACATGACTCACTAGACACAAAACGGGCAAGAGGAAGCCTAAAACGATCGAAAATGAAACAATGTCTATCAAAAGTTAATCAAAACTCAAAATACTTCGACCATACCTGCTCGAACTGAAATAAAAAAAAGTACTACGAGGAGAAATATAATATGAATAAAAACTTTCCCCAAATTACTTCATCGCAGGGAGGTGGTTCCGGAGGAGGGCGAGCTGCTGTGGTATGGTAGAAGAGAAATTCAACCTCCAGAAAATTCGTTTGAGAACCAATCACCGGAACGGTCACCTTCCCATCGCTCACCACAGTTTCCCCTCAATTGTCATCATCGAATATCAATCCTTTGTTGTCCTCACCGATTGCCATCTGTTTGTACTGGTTCACAATCTCTTCCATCGAACAACCCCCACTTGTGCCGTTGATGCAGACCTTGCAAGACCTCACCCTGAGTCTCGGTTGCGCACTTCTCACAAAAACAGAAGAGCTGCGGACCTTTTGCAAAACCTCACCCCACTCGCTCACAGACCTCTGCCTCCCGGCGGGTGCTCCTCGGTAGAGCCGATAGCGGACAAAGAAACCCTAGCGGCGATAATTGCCCTAGTAGTAGATCACTACTAGGCATTTAGACTTTAATAATTAACATCGCGATATCAGTTTCATATCTTATAATTCACTTTCTTTTTCTTACGTAGTATTTTTAAAATATCTACAATGTACCTATATGTAAGGATGGCAATGGGGGCAGGGACCCGTGGGGAACCGCCCCGCGGGAGGAGGATGGGGTGGGGCTTGGGGCGGGGCGGGGGGCGGGGATGGGTGAGATATTTTTATGCCGTTAAAATATGGGGCGGGGGATTGGTATTGCTACACCCGCCCCGTCCCCGTTATAAATATATATATATATATATATATATATATATATATATATATATATATATATATATATATATATATATATATATACTCAAACATTTTTTTAAATATATACTCAAACATATATATACACATCTATAAATATTGTACACACATATTCAATCAAATTATATGTAGTACTATCGTATATAACAAACACATATACATAATTACATATAGACATACATATATAATTGTATACGGTTTAATCATGGTTAATGAATTAATAGATATTATACTAAAATAATAATAAGCTAGTAATGATTAAAAATATTTATCTGTTACATGAGTATTAAGAGTGAGCAAGTGAGTAAATAAATACACACACATTTATATGTAATATAATACGTAATTAATTGTATTATAATTGTTGAAAATTTTGAAACAACGTATATGATGATAATATGCTTACTTATATTCTTACTTTAATTGTCTTCAATTCAACAAACTTATTCAAATTGAAGAATTATTAAAATTGGCGGTATTGACTTTTAACAAGCACAATACTTCAGTGTTGCGTTTGTGTATCATATATCACTCTGTGCGCGTAGATATATATAGGTTTAGGATCAAATGAGAACAACGCTTAACGTGAGAACGTGCGAACACCACATTTACTCTCAATGTGAAGCAGAATGGGCTCACACAATGCACTTTTTCGTATTTAGCATAATATTTACAAAAGTGTCAACGTGATTATTTATATTAGCTTGTATTGAGCAAAGTCCAACTGTCCAAATGTGCACTAGAATGGCTCTATTGTGTATCACATTGGATTAAATGTGAGTGTTCCAACGTTAAGCATCGTTCTCATTGGAATCACACTACATATATTTATGATGAGAGATTAAAAGTATATGCAAAAATGATAAATTAAATCTATATGAGGGCAATCGTGGGCACCCGTGGGGGACAACGGGGTGGGGCGGGGATGAGGCGGGTCTGGGAGTAACGGGGGATGGGGCGGGGATGGGTGGAACTTTTTAGACATGGGGCGGGGGATGGGGGAGTGTACCCCCGCCCCAAACCCGCCCCATTGCCATCCCTACCTGTAAGAATCCAATATGCGAATTTAATGTAATACTCTGTATTTATACTTTTGAAATTTACAAGACTATGACATTTTAAAATGAGTATTACATCGATATCAAATGAGCATACATAAATTACGAAATAAGCATCGAAAAAAAATCATTTAAAATCTCTACCACGTTCAAAATTTCATTTGTGTGTGCTCATACATGTAAAATTATGTATAGCTTGGGTTTCTTCTAACCTGCGGTCAACACGCAACCAAACTCACCAAACCTGCGTCAGAGTGCAAAGAATAAGAGAGGGGGAAGAGGCAACTAGCGCTGGAGTATACACTCGGCAGAGCCGTCGTCTTTGCGCAAGCCGGTGTTTGAGGTGCTGCGTTCATGGTGGAGGATTGCGAGTGACGAGTCGTCATCTGTTTACGGCAACGAGCGAAGGATGAGCAACGAGCAAAGCTCGAACGAACTACGAACTACGAGGAACTAAATGTCTGACTGTGCCATGTGCACGATATAGTTGGTTGTACGATATAATTTTTGCCTAGTTGTTAGTGTACACAAGCAGCTCGTTCAGAAGCTATTGTGTACACAGACAACTAAGTAATGTGTAAAATAAATGTGTACAAGCAACACCACCCTTATAAATAAGAAGTAGTGGTTCTACTTCTTATTTAATTCAATCAAATAGAATTAGAATCAATAAATCATAATCAATTATTTGTGGAAGACGGAGAAGAACTTTTACTTTATTGTTATTAAGCTAGTTTTTTATGATGTCGATTTTTTTTTGTTTATTTTCAGCTTGTTTTTTTGTTATGTTGTAAGACTTTGAGCTTGGATTTGGGTGACAGGGAGTCTGCGGTGATCTTCTTTGGCTCAGTTGCGCCCATTAAGGGATCATCGAGTTATATTGCTTCTATTGAGCTGATTAACTATGAGTCTGGTTCAGGGGTCGACAGTTGTCAGCGGTCTTTTTGTCTTTTTAGCTCATATCTGTATGCTGTGATATCAATATAAGCTAACTTTTCTAAAAAAACACTTTTCAACTTTTGCACAAACACTCTAAAATTTATTTTTCCTTCTAGAAGGAGCAAAAACAGTTTTAAGAAGTAAATCTAAAACCCTCGAAGTAAGGAGTTATGTCAGAGGTATGCCATATGGTAGGGGTGGGCACCGGTTCAAAACCGCACTGAACTGAACCGGATTGAAACTAATATTATTAAAAAATAAAAAAGGAAATCAGACCGGATATATCACGGTTTTTAACTGGAACCGAACCAGTTTAACCGGTTCAAAAACGGAATCGAAACAGAAAAACCGGTTTCTAAATTATTAATTTTTCTGAAATAGTACAACTAATATTTTTGTAAACATGGAGTATTTAATATTAATACTAATATTATTGTTATATACTTATCTGTAGTGCTCTTAATCTTATAAATAATCTTGCTCATGTCCTCGAATCATCTCCGGGGACTCCTGCTACGCAAGAGATTGTCAACAGACTGGGTTAAGCTACACCGGCACAAAACTAGTGAGCATGGGCTGGATCGAGTTGCGCTCAATATAAAGTAAATTAATTAATAGGATTGGCTGGGGTTTTAAATAAATTTATAGCGTGCTCCGCCCATCCAGATTCACTAATAGAGTCGGACTAGACAAACTCACGTGTCATTAATAAAATCAGGTCTATATGATTAATATGAGCTTATAAGAAAAAAAATTCTTTATGTACCACGAAAGACAACATAATCAATCGCTCTCTAGACATGCATTCATGTATGCGCTCACAAACTTCCCATATAATCACATGCCATAAGACTATTCACTTAAACACACACTATACTTTGAATTTCTTATCGGATGCTCTTCTTTTTTAACTTATTTCATGAGTAGCACTTTTGATTATTTTAAGTTTTTCTCGAGAATTATATAAAGTATGATGCTAAATAGTCAGGTAGAATCATATATAAGAGCAAATATTTTTATTATTTCTTAAAGAAAAAGTCTTTACTAATTTACAAGTTACTTCTTTCTATAAAAAGTCATAATTTTGAACAATAGAAGAGGGGACTCTTATTTCAACAATGAAAGATATTTGGGATTCTGATACGAATCAAGATATGTGCAGCAAAGCTAGGGAAATTTAAAGAGAACTTGAACAGCCAAATTAAAGTGTTCAAGGGAAAATTACTTGCCTACAAAGAACTTGAACACTCAAATTAAAGTGTACAAGAAAATGCATCAACAGTCACATTTCATGAGGATGAGGTCGCAATCACATATGGATTTCAGTGGCTTTGATTGAGCTAGGGCTTATAAGGAGTTCCTCTTTGGTCGCATTTCGGATTGGGATTTAGTTAGGAAAATGTATCATTTTTTTGTTTGCTTTTTTTGTTTGTTTTTGTATCATTTTCCGCCTTCCTGCTCGATTAACTGTGTATCTCCTTATGCTTGGTAAGTTTCCATATCTGATTTTGAGTTTGGTTCTATATATATATCGTACTTCTCCTTCTCTGTGAGGGCGGGCCGAAACCTTTCTTCCAAAATCGCACCTCTGTG